GTCTGATACTAACCAATTTATAATTTTGGTTAGGGGACTGGATGGGTTTTTGCCCAATTTAGTCCTCTGTTGTATAGATTAAAATTATTGCATGACTATATACATCTTTGTCAGCAATATGGCCAACAAGAAAAAAGTCATAAAATGGTATGTTTTGTACAAGTTAATCATTTTCCCAAATTTTCTGCTTTTCTTTAATTTTTGTTTGACCAACTGAATTTGTTTTTCAAATGGGGGTAGGGTTGTTGGTGAGTAGGTATGCCACTGACAAGACAGGTGATGCCTTTGAGATATACCAGCAAAACTCATAGAAAGGGATCTTTTGTCCAGATTTAGGGTCACATGGATGTTAAGCACATAAAATGTAATTATTTAAATGTATATTTTTTTCAACAAAATAAACATTTAAATAATTAATTGTTAAATATTAATACTTTTCTTTTCATAAAAAATTACAGCAACCCAGGACTCAAAACTCTGAATTCAGGGAAAATCCAAAACAACAACCCAGGTTGTAACCTCTAAGTTGCTGAATTTTCAAGCCAGTCTTAACACCAACTTTATTCTAGTGAGAGGTATAACGCAAAGCAAACATCACACATCACATGAATGTCAACTCTCATCAGCAATCAATGCTCATATGGTGACAGCCAAGCCTGGTCTGAGGGGAAGATAAGTAAAAGTTTTGTCCAAAGCCTTCTAACATGTGGGGGACCTCACCTGTGGAAAAAAATCCACAGTTATGAGGCGTGTGAAAGCACATAACCACATGTTTGCAACAGGAAATTTTAATTAAATCTGACACCTGCAATCAATATCAGATTTATTATTCATGAGCAACCATAATTGTAATTTATTATTGTGAACCCCAGAGATCTGGGTAGACACGCATTATTAAAAGTTTCATTCATGCATGGCCTTGGTATCATTACTACCTGGGCGATGCAATTGTTTGTTATATCAATATGACATCAAACATATTGCATAATAATCATGACCATCATGAATATTTGATGGATGGAGGCATTCACATACAAGGAAATGATTAAATAGTTAAGTCATGTTTGTTTTATTAAAGATGTATGATTAATTATATTTAAAATATACAATAAAAAAAATTGCAAGACTGCACCATTATGTCAATCAAGCTATCAAGCTGTTATGTTTGTTCATGATTTAAAATTCTTTTGTGCTAATTTAGGTCCCATCTTTCTTTGCTTGTATATAATCTATTGGTTCTTTTTTTACTGGTCAAATGATGCCAAATTGGGTAATGGGGTATCAGTAAATATCAGAATCTGATTATTCTTTAAAAAAATAATCAAGGTATTAGCATACTGATAAGTTAATAATATTCTTAATATTTTTATCATATAGTCTAAAAGCCTATTAGTAAATATTGAATGAAATGTTCAGATTTTCTTTACTATTTTTTAATTAATGTAATAAACCAATAGCTCTTTTGTATTGTAATTAAAATTATTGGTTAAATGTTTCTAAAACTCTTTGTGCAAAATAATATCATAATCTTGAGTAGTAGTTAGGTTTCTACAGTGCAGATCATCTATAATCATTAATTGCTTATAGTAACAATTGGTCAACTTCAAAATACTAAAACAAAAAAAAATTATATCTTTTTAAAAAATTTAACCAATAAGTTTTATTGTTCATGACTCAAGCCTCAAAACTTATCGGCTGGTTTTTTCTTAAACTGAAAATTGGCAGAGCCTTAGCATTTTGAAAATTCCGAATTTTGTTATACATTTAAGAAATTGAGACTAAGTAAATTTCGTGTAACAATTTTTTTTTCATAGAATATTTTCTACAACATACATTTGATTTATTTGATTTATTTATTTCCTTTTTTTATTAATAAATAAAAGTTCTTTACAACAAAAAAGTTTAAAAGAAAATCATTACCAAATTTGGTCGTGAGATTCAAAATATTGTAACACAAAAATTATTGTTGCACTTTTGAGCATAACTTTCAAATTTAAACAAGTTTTTAAACGAAAACGTGACAGCGAGCTTCGTGTCTTTTACTCGCACAACGACATCACTCAGGTCAAGACAATAATAGTCTATTTTATCAATTCAAAAAAATACAAATAGAACGGCCGTCCCCACATTTTTTTTTCGTTTTTTTTTGTAGAGAAATTCCTCTCAGGCCATTTCAGCGCACGGAACTCAACTTTCTACGACGTTCCTGCCCATATTTAAGCAATCAAGTTTACAGGCGATGAGCACATTTAAACCACAAAATCATTTATCATCACACAACGTTATACAAGATGGTCGAAAATAAAAATACCACTGCGCCAAGTGTTTCATAGCATCACAATAACAAAAATACACGATTCAATTGATTCAATTTAACCCACGCAATTGTTGATCGACCAATCAAAATCGTGAATTTGATAACGTAAAAATAAACGTTAACATAAAACA